ATTTTGCTTACTAGGAGGGAAATATATCAATCTGGTTTTGTGCCCACTAATTTTTTCAAATATTATATATATATATATATATATATATATATATATATAAACCTTGGAAGATCAAATGTAGATCAGATACGGATAGGAATCCGCCAAGATGATAAAATCCAATAAAGAACAAGTCGGAAACGTGTCTCAATCTTTTATTAAAGCTTTGTCAGAGATCGAGATAGAAATGAAAAATCAAAAAGACACAGAGTACTGGTTATGTTATGATTTTTGATTAGTTCTTAATGGTCAGATATATGTCACGTGCATTAGCGTAATAAATGATATATAAATATGTGTGAGGAACATTCTGGGTGTTAAAGTGTGCAATAGAATATGAATGTGTTTGTAAATAAAGGCATGTTTGTCTAGGTATATGTTGGACGTAACTTTGAGTCATGTAAATGTAATACAAGTGTGTGTGCGAGGAATGTCTATAGATATCACCATCGTATATGTCGGTGAAATGTAGCGAAATGTTGCAATAATTTTGTATTTTGTTGAATTTTTATATTCTTGTGTATGTGCGTGGGTGGAAAGTCTGTTGTCGTCACCTCTGTGTGTGTCGGTGAAATGCAGCAAGATATTGTAATAAACGTGTTTAGGTTGGATTTATCATAAAAGTATTTTTGAAAAGGATTTGAATAGTTTCATTATTTTACCATAAGTTAGATTCATGAATAATGAATCTGTAGAAAGTTGATGATTCGATGTAATGTTTTAAGCGAGTGTTTATAGTCGGTAATAATGCTATATGTTTTCATATTTTCTTCTTAAAGGGTTATGTTCTTTTTATTTAGGCTGACATTAGTAAAATCAAAGTTATGGCCTACATCGTTTCGATGTAAGACGAGTGAGTTAGAATGTCTACCTAAATGCAAGTCTCTCTTGTGTTCGTAGATACGGGTTTTTAGATCACGTGATGTCTGCTTCACATAAATGTTTTTTACACTGCAGACCTGATAAATTCCGGCATTTGAAATGGTGTTTGGTTTATTTTTCTCCTTGATTATATCCCTGATTGTTTTGGAGAGAGTGATAACGATCTTATTGTTAACGATGGCTAATTCGTTTGCGAGATTAGTTGAGAGGGTGCTGGATGGGAAGATAATCTTTTTTCTTTTCTTTTTTTTTTTTTTTGCTATATGGATTTTGTGAGCTCATTTTTTAGCGTTGAGGATGAAGTGGTGTGTGTAGCGAAGTTTGAATGTTTTCTCAATATATTCCTCTTCTTCATTTAGATATTTAGGGTTGTATATCCTAAGGGCTCTGAGGTAAAATCCTATGATTAGTTCAGATTTTATTCTCTGGTTATGGTGGGAATAGAAATTGATTCGGTCGTTTTTGTCTGTGGATTTTTGGTAAACTTTAATATCTAATACGTCATTGTTGCGTATTAATAAGATGTCGAGAAAAAGTTGAGTTGTTTGTTTCAAGTTCGTATGTGAATTCGATGGTGGGTTCAACCTTATTGAGTTTTGTTATTATGCTTAATAGGTTTCTTTCTTGGGAATGAAATAAGAGGACATCATCTACGTATCTCAGGTAAATAGAGCTGTAAGGTATGTTTAAATGTGGCAGATTCTAAGAATTCTAGAAAGAGGCAAGCGAGAACACCACTGAGAGGTGACCCCATGTGTAAACCAAATTTTTGTTTGTAGAAAATATTATTGAAAGAAAAGAAACAGTGGTTAGTAATTAATTTGCATATCTTTATAATTTTGTGGAAGGGTAGAGGAAGTTTTTTATTAAATATTTTAGGCAATTTCTTAATATATTAAGGCATTTCGTGATGGCTATATTGGTGTATAGTGATTTGATGTCTAAACTTGCCATAGACATGTCAGTCATATTTATGTTACGTATTCTTTGGAGTAGGTCAACCGAATATTTGATGTGTATTGTGCTGATGGTGCCTAGGAACGGAGGATTTTTGTGATGGCTCTAGCTAACTTATGGGGTGAACTATTAATTCCGGACTCAATGGGTCTGATGTGTATGTTGGGTTTGTGTGTCTAGGGTAAGCCATATAATTTCGGTATAGTGCGGTGATATTCTAATAATCTAGACCAAGATTTATTTTTTAACAATTTCTTTATTGTTGAATCTATGTGTCATTTTTTATAGTTTGTTCGTTGGGTTTAGTGTAGGTGCTGTCGTTATTTAGCGGGGATTTTAATTTTTCAATGTAGATGTTTGTATCCTTTATAAATATGCGTAACTTCCCAGTGCCTTTTCTATAAATATTTTCATGGTAATTGTTCTGATGAGCTTTCCTCTTTGGTACCTCAACTTTACAATTTTTAGCATAGTACTAGATTGGCTGTTAGGTCTCATCATTTTACACTTGAAATTGCTAGATGTAACTAAGTTCGTTGCTAACAGTTACTTCTCTTGCATTTCTTGCTCGTGAGACTTTCTTCCAGCTTCTTTGATCATCAAAAATTTACATGCAGTGTCAATCGTTATCTTCTTAATTTCTGTTCTTTTATTGTTTTCTTTCCTTAAAGTTTTTTTCTCATATTCTTTCGCACTCAGTAACCCTTTGCCTCATAGTAGATTCATTGCCTTACGAG